AGCTTCACAATGAGACAGCAATGTGCCCTCATAGCCAAGAAGGCAAATGGGGTCCTGGGGTACATTAAGAAGAGTGTGACCAGCAGGTCGAGGGAGGTTCTCTTCCCCCTCTACTCTGCCCTGCTGAGGAAAAAACCTGGAGTATTTGGTCCAGCTCTGGGCTCTGCTGTTCAAGAGAGACAAGGAACAACTGGAGAGACTCCAGTGAAGGCTACAAGAATGCTGAGGGAACGAGGAAAGGCTGAGAGCCCTGGGGCTCTTTAGCTGCAAGAAGAAAAGACCGAGAGGGGATCTCATCAATGCTTCTCAATATCTAAAGGGTAGGAGCCAAGAGGATGGCGCCAGAGTCTTTTCAGTGGTGCCCAGTGACAGGACAAGGTGCAACAGGCACAAACTGGAACTCAGAAGGTTCCATCTGAACATGAAGAAGAAATTCTTTCCTGTGAGGGTGGCAGGCTGCCCAGAGAGGTTGTGGAGACTCCTTCTCTGGAGAGATTCCAAACCTGCCTGGACATGACCCTGGGCAACTTCTTTTAGGTGAGTCTGCTTTAGCAGTAGGGTCGGACGAGACTCTGCAGAGGTTCCTCCCAACCCCTACCAGTCTGTGATTCTGTGATAGTCATTACTGAGCATTTTGTGCACCTACCCTGGACAGTCAGTGGTACCCTCACCAGAACAGATCCCATCAGATTCCTCGCCACACACTCATATTCAGACGTATCTTCCTTCCGTGCTGTGACGATGCGCAGGGAGCCGTTGGACAGGACAGCCACTCTCTCCTCGCTCACAGCCGGGCCGCCTCGGCGCGACCACTGGATGGTTGGGGGAGGCTCTCCACTTGCCTGGCAGTTCAGAATGGCTGTGGCACCAGCTTCAACAACTGTCTCTACAGGTTCAACAGTAATGACTGGAGGACCTGGAATGGAAAGGTTTCTCTTTAGACAACAGCAAATGGTTACCTTTTTGTATGTTATACTGAATATTAAAGATTAAGGTCAAAACAAGGGCAAACAACTCTTGTCAGTTTACTTTGACTAAAATAATAAGGTCTCCTGATCTTATTAAAAATAGCTTGTCGTTGTCATTTTAACTTGCACATACGTACGTAGCAACCTGACAGCTGAAGTTGGGATTGAGGCCTGACAAACTTTCCTAATTGTTAAAATCTATTACTCTTTATAATCCTGCAGGACGTAAGGAACACACCCATGCTGTTTGATACTCGAATAGAAAAGAGATGTTTATAACTTCTACCACTAGTGAAAATAGAATTCTAAATTATTTCTGCCAAAACTAGAATATTGTCAACGAATGCTGGGATTCATCTCATGTAACTTTCTTAATTTGAAATTTAAAGCTCTAGTTTAACACAGTTGTGAAGACATCCACTGTAGTCAAGTAAGAGAAACAGGCCCTTTCAGAAGGCAATTCACCCCATTCTTTGTTGGTTTCTAAAATGAAGTTGGATCATTCTTCATATACCTCCTGGCCTTTATTAGCACTAGTGTGGCCAGCAGGACCAGGGCAGGGATCATCCCCCTGTATTTAGCACTGGTGAGGCTGCACCTTGACTACTGGGTTCAGTTTTGGGCCCCTTGCTTCAAGAAGGGCATTGAGGGGCTGGACATGACCAGAGAAGGGCAATGAAGCTGGTGAAGGGTCTAGAGCACAAGTCTTGTGAGGAGTGGCTGAGGGACCTGAGGGTGTTTCACCTGGAGAAAAGGAGGCTCAGGGGAGACCTTCTCGCTCTCGACAACTCCCCAAAAGGAGGCTGGAGTGAGATGGGGGTTGCTCTCTCCTCCCAAGGAACAAGTGCTAGCACAAGAAGACATGGCCTCAGGTTGTGCCAGGAGAAGTTTAGGTTGGATGTGAAGAAAGATGTCTTCCCTGAAAGGGTTGTCAAGCCCTAGACCAAGCTGTCCAGAGCAGTGTTAGAGTCCCTGTCCCTAAAGGGATTGAAAAGATGTGGTGCTGAGGAACATGGTTTAGTGGTGCCCTGGCAGTGCTGGGTTAATGGTTGGACTCAATGATCTTAAAGGCCCTTTCCAACCAAAACAATTCTATGCTTATCCTCTTTGACCTCACTAGCTTAGGCTAGACTCTTAAACATTAATGATGAAAGGATGAGGTGAATCTTAACCTACAATGCAGTGCCCAAGCTCCAAAACTGCAATAGGAGCTGGATGCACCTATCCAAAGGCTGTTTATCACTCCATCTGGAGGCATTACAAACTTCACTGGGAGCCTTACTCTGAAGCGTCAGCGTCAGACTGCGTTCCACCACACCAGCATCATTGGTAGCCACACACTTGTAGTCACCAGCATCTTCATTCTAAAGAAATGAAAAATAAGATGTTCACATAACCTTATAAACCTGTAATGAGGCTTTTGTTTAACAGAGCACCTCCTGGAGGTGAATCTTCTGCAACACAACATGGCATGCACTGGACATTAAGAAGCACAGTTAGCTTCTAGGGTATCCCAACAGTTTGCTTTTATCAACATTAAGCTGATATTCATGCGAATTATTTTTACTGTTATAACTCCATTTTGATTTCCTTCAGCTCCCTAAATCTGAGATCAGATGCCATGTTGTGTCTGGGGAGGTTTCGATTGGATACTAGGAACAAATTTTTTACTGAGAGAGTGGCTAGGCACTGGAACAGGCTGCCCAGGGAGGGGGTGGAGTCACCATGCCTGGAGCTGTTCAAAAAACTAGATGTAGTACTTGAGGCTATGGTCTAGTGGTTAAGGGAGATGATGGGATGGAAGTTGGACTTGATGATCCTAGAGATTCTTTCCAACCACAGTGATTCTATGATTCTATCAATTTTTTGTTTCTTTGTTTTATTCATTTAAATGAACTCAAGGGAGCTGCTGTTTTTAACCTCACTTCAAAATACAGGGATTGGTTTATACAGCCAAAATGGGTCTTGCCATTCAGATAGGGAATTTCAATTCCAAGAGGTTTGCACATGAAGAACACAACTGCTTTTCACCTGACCTGACTGGGTAGAACCCAGGGTTTTTTAAGGTCAAAACCAGTCTCACTTAATTGGGCACAACCAGGATTTCCACACACCAACAAATACTATGTAGATTTGGTCCTTCTGACAAAGAGAACAATAGCCCCCAGCATTTTTATGTGTGTGTGTCACGATCATTTAAGTCAAATTCTAGTCTGAATTAAAACAACATTCGTTAAAAGTAAAAGCAAAAGTCTATTCCATGTCTAGCCTCACTCTTTAAAACAATATGACTGGGAACACCTTTATTAGGCAAGCACAGGGCAGAAGCCCATTGTAAGGGAGCAGTGACTCACGACAGTGCCGTAGATAGCAAGGGAACCATTGTTAAGCTGTTGGATCCTGTTGCTAATTGGAACGCCGACTCCTTTTTTGCTCCACTGGATGGTTGGAGGTGGATCTCCTCTGACTTCACAATTCAAGATAGCGTTGCCACCCAACGGCTCGATTCGGCTAGAGGGGTAATCCCCTTTAAAGACCGGAGGCTCTGAAGAAACAAGTGATGGCACAGAAACAGCAGAGTCAGAATAAAATGCCCTTGAAACTCCTGCTAGGGATCATTCACCTCTGACCTTCTGAAGTGTGAATTTCAACCCCTTTCAATTTTTCCCAAATCACCTTAGACAAGGTATCAAATACTAGAGGTAACAGCTTTAAACTAGAAGAGAGTAGACTCAGATTAGAAATTAGGAAGAAGTTCCCTCATTATGACGGTGGTGGGACTGGGACAGGTTGCCCAAGGACGTTGTGGATGCTCCATCACTGGAGGCATTCAAGACCAGGTAGGATGGGGCTTTGAGCAACCTAGTCTAGTAGGAGGTGTCCCTGCCCATGGCAGGGGGCTTAGAACTAGATAATCTTTAAGGTCCCTTCCAACCTAAATCATTCTATGATTCTACTATCAAACCAGATGGCTGTGTGAAACTGTCCAACAGCAACCACAACTACTGTTATTTTACGTACCTTTGACATACACAAAGCCAATAGCTTTGATTGAGCCAACTGCGTTTTCTGCTGTGCACACATAGGTGCCAGAGTCATCTTTAGATACTCTTTCAATAACGAGTTCGCTGTGCCCGTTTACATCGTCGTATTGTGCTGAAGGAAGAACACAAGGGAAAGGGTTACTTCATGATTTTACATTCTACCAGCAGAAGAGGACCTGGGGGTGTTGGTTGACAGATGAAGTTTTCTTCATATTGAAGAAAAATAGCATTAGTTGTTGGATGCTGGGTAAATATCATCAGATACTGAACATTTTTAATATGTTACACTATTGGCTACAGAAAAGGAACAATTTATTATCTTCCTTACAGCTTTGTCTCAGAGGCAATTTAATTACATGATTCCATAATACTGAAGATATTCCTCACACAATCACTGCCTAACAAGTTTGTTCCCTTTAGTTTTTTTTTTCTTCCTTAGTTTATAATTGCAGTGCTGTATGGAGGAAACCAACTGCAGAACAGAATGGTCAGTGAGAGCTGGTATTACCCACCTGGAATGATGTTATTGTTAAAGGTCCATGTTATTTTGGGTACAGGTATCCCAGTTGCTCTGCACGTTAATCTGAGTTGTTCTCCTTTGGTCAAAGCTACATCTCCAGGCAGTTCTGTAAAAGCTGGAAGTACATGAACTACCAGGGTGACAGTGTGTGTGTCTTCTCCAGCAGCATTGTTAGCAATACAGGTGTAACTGCCAGAATCTTCAGGCTGAAAGAAAGCATGTTAGGGACATTTCAGCTGATATATCCTACACAACACTACCACTTCTAACAATCAGAGAATCTCAGAGGGTTTGGAACAAGCATTCAGCCAATCTGAAACCTTTTCACCTCCTTTAAATCAGAAAGATGACCTACACTTCCTTTTGCCCTTCCTGAGAATTTTATCACACAAATTTTCACAGATATTTTACAAAGACTCTGGAACATTAAGAACAAGAAAACAAAATAACACAAAGATGAATCCAGAAATGTGTGAAAATGAAGAGAAGCAGGGTCTTATTCCTCCTAAAGCTGTCAAGTCATAGGTTAGATTTAGAGAACTTACAACAACATTGTCCAAAATGAGGCCTCCATCTGGCATAGCCCGGTATCTTCCTACTACCCCTGTTAACAGTGTATTATCCTTCTTCCAGAGGATTGTTGGTGTTGGAATCCCCTCAGCCACGCAGGACAGAACAGCCTGGGAGTCCTCTGTGACTGTGTGCTGCATCTCCGTACTGCGAATCTTGGGTGGAACTGTGAGAAGGTTTATTGAAACATTTTACCTCTGTGTATTATCCAAGCACTACCATACAAGCATACAACACTAGGCTGAAAAAATAAATAGTGCCTGGATATTCCCTATTGCTTCTGGTCTCCATCAATGACCACCATTAAGCAGACCAGAGAAATGTGTGAAATACTTATAACAAAGTATAAACCAAGTTAAGGAAATCACAGAATCTCAGAATAGTAGGGGTTGGAAGGGATCTCTGGAAATTGTCTTATCCAACCCCACTGCTAAAGAAGGGTCACCTAAAGGATGTTGCTCAGGATCAAAGGCGGGCTTTGAAAGTCTCCAGAGAAGGAGATTCCACAACCTCTCTGGGCAGCCTGTTCCAGGGCTCTGCCACCCTCACAGGAAAGAAGTTTTTCCTCCTGTTCAGATGGATCCTCCTGGGTTCCAGTTTGCACTTGTTGCATCTTGTCCTGTCACTGGGCACCACTGACAAGAGTTTGGCCCCATCCTCTTGATTCCTACCCTTTAGATATTGAGAAGCATTGATGAGAGCCCCTTTCACTCTTTTCTTCCCCAGCTGAACAGCCCCAGGGCTCTCAGCCTTTCCTCATCATAGAGATGCTCCAGTCTCTTCAGCATCCTTGTAGTCTCTGCTAGAGTCTCTCAGTTGTTCCTTGTCTCTCTTGAACAGGGAAGCCGAGAACTGGACTAAATACTTCAGATTTTTTTCCTCAGTAGGGCAGAGTAGAGGGGGAAGAGAACCTCTGTCAACCTGCTGGTCACACTCTTCTTAATGCATCCCAGGACCCCATTGGCCTTCTTGGCCATGAGGGCACATTTCTGGCTTATGGTGAACTTGTTGTCTACCAGGAGTTCTTCACTATGAGGGTGGTGAGACACTGGCACAGGTTGCCCAGGGAAGTTGTAGATGCTCCATCACTGGAGGTGTTGAGCAACCTGGTCTAACTGAAGATGTCCCTGCCCATGGCAGGGAGGTGGGAACTAGATGATCTTTAAGTTCCCCTTCAACCCAAACCATTCCACGATTCTGATTAAGTAACACAATTTTCCTAAATGTTTCCCCTCCATTCTAGGTCCTCACCCTCCGCAGGGTCAGGCTGTGACAGCACATGTTGTTTCTGTCCAGTCCCACTTACTGTGCACGGCGAGATCCACGCTGGACGTGCTGGACCCTGCCAGGTTAGCTGCCATGCACGTGTAGCGGCCCGCGTCACCAGGCTGCACAAACACGATCTGCAGAGCACCAGAGCTGAGAATTCTCCTCCTAATGGACTCGGTTATCTGTTGTCCATCTTTATGCCAGCTGATCTCTGGCCCTGGGTAGCCTTCAGCCTCGCATTGCAGGGTGACAGATTGATCAACAGGAGCAACATATTCCTTGGGGTGGGACTTGATAACAGGAGGAACTGAAAAGAATTAAGGAATATTTTTTTTAAGAATTAGATGTTGTAAGAAGCATGGAATGCTTCAGTTCTTAGTAAAAATAATCCTAACTGCATACTTTGATCCTAAAGTAGACAGAAAACTCAAGGGAATAAACCTTCTGGGCTCTATCCAGCATCACATCCAAAAGGGAAGCACTCAGTCCGTTTCTATTGCTCAGAAGCGTGCTTTGGCTAACAGAAAGCATGCACAAACCTATTGGCTGTAAATCATCAGAAGAGTTTAGGTGATGCTTTACCTTGAACTTTCAGTTTGATCTTCCCCAGAGCAGTGCCAGCTGGGTTTTGAGCAACACACATGTAAGTGCCAGCATCCTGAACAGTTGATTTTGCTATCTGTAAACCCCCGCTCGGAAGAACCATGTAACTGTTGCCTAAAACAAATACAATCAAAATATGAGACTTTTGGTTTTAAATGAATGGGTTCCTTATATCTAAGTTGGAATATTCAGAAAAGACAAAACAAGTTTCTGAGTCACAGCAAGGAGGCAGGAGTGAGAGGCTGTAAGAGGATACCTGTTGTGACTACGTTGATGCCCTCCTTTTGCCACGTCACGACGGGACGAGGTGTACCCGTCGCTTCGCACGGTAGAAGGATGGGATTGTTCACAATGACATCCAGCACCCCTGGCTGAGTTTGGATAACTGGGGGTTCTGTGGAACAAAATAAAAAGGAAAATGCAGTAAGGCTAGAAAATATGATAGGTACTAAAATCCCACAGCCTGAGAACATGAGAAGGCTGAATTAGCAATGGCTGCATTCTGCAAGCCCCATGAACAGCTCAGTAGAAGCATTCTTAACTACAGCAACGTGCTTGGCCATGAGTTTGGTTATAGAATATGGCCTCACTGCGTGCAGTTTGCCATCAGAGATACACTTTGACTTGCCAAAAAAGCAAAGAAACAAAAATCTCACAAAAATAAAATAAAGCAGCATGGATTGGGGGCCCTATCCTAGGTACCAGAGCTGTAACACGCAGAGTGAATAATCATTGTGCTCACAGGACATCCAGCTGAGCAGGACACTACTTGTGATGGCCCACCCTGGCCTCAGCATTACTCTGAAGCATATGTACATATTAGAATTATAGGCTGGTTTGGGTTGGAAGGGACCTTTCAGGGCCATCTAGTCCAACATCCCTGCGGTTAGCAGGGGCATCTGCAACTACAGCAGGTTGCTCAGAGCCTTGTGCAACCTCACCTGGAATGTTTTCAGGGATGGGGCATCTGCCACCTCTCTGGGCAACCTGGGACAGTTTCTCACCACCCTCACTGTAAAAAATTTCTTTCTTCCATCTAGTCTGAATTTCCCTTTTTAGTTTAAAACCATCACCCATTGTTCTGTTTCAACAGGTCCTCCTAAAAAGATTGTCCCCATCTTTCTTATAGGCTCCCTTTTAGTACTGAAAGAACACAATACAGTGTCCCATAAGCCTTCTCTTCTCCAGGCTGAACAATCCCAACTCTCCAAGCCTGGCCTCACAGCAGAGGGGTTCCAGCCCTCTGATGATTTTTGTGGTCTCCTCTGGACCTACTCCAGCAGGTCCCTGTCTCTCCTGTGCTGAGGACTCCAGGGCTGGACCCAGCACTGCAGGTGGGGTCGGTCTCAGCAGAGCAGAGCAGAGAGGCACAATCCCCTCTCTTGACTTGCTGGCCATATTGCTTTGGATACAGCCCAGGGTGCCATTGGCTACAGGGCTGTGAGCACACATTGCAGCTCATGTCCAGATTTTCATCCACCAGTGCCTCCAAGTCCTTCTCTACAGGGCTGCTTTCAATCCCAACATCCCCTAGCACGTGCTGAAACTGGGGTTGCCCACATCCAGGTGCAGGAACTTGCACTTGGCCTTTTTGAACCAACATAATGTTCACACATAAGTTGTGAACCTGGCTATGAACCATAAGTTTCACACAGCCCCTCTTCTTAAGCCTGTTCCAGGTCCCTCTGCATGGATCCGGTCCCTCAGGCGTGTCAACCACACCACTCCACTTGGCATCAACTGCAAACCTGCTGAGGGTGCACTCGACCCCACTGTCTGTGTCACTGACAAAGATATTAAGCAGCACTTTGGGCAGCATTTACTGACAGAACACCCTTTCTCCTCAGCTTCCCATCTCACCCTGGACACGGAGGGTGGCATGCCTGTGAGCAGAGCCAGCAGCGTTCCGCGCCACGCAGGCGTAGCGTCCGGCGTGGGCCAGCTGAGCAGCAGGGATCTCCACAGCACCTGCAGCAGAGAGCCAGCACATCACAACACACACCAGTACCCTCCACTCACAGTGAAACTCCCGAGAGCTTCAGAGTCTGCATTTTTATTCTAAAAAATCAGAGAGGGGTTGTTTGGAGATCGTTTGCATTTATTTCATTATTTCCTTCTACGTGTGCACTATCACAGCCTGTCACTGGTATTCTGTGGCTGAGCTCCAGCCACACACGGTACCTGAAGAAAGGATTCTGTAGCCATCTCCTCTGGGAAGCAACTTTATGCCGTTTTTGGTCCAGTGGACTGAGGGGACAGGAACCCCCGATGCAGTGCAGGAGATGACCACTGGAGACAGCTTTGTTACCACAAGGTCTGTGGCTTCATCTGCTATGGATGGGGGCACTGAAAACAAATATCAGTGTAAAGGTTACTTAACCATTTTCATTTCTATGAATTATTGGAAATGACTTATCTTCCTTGGGATCATCAGAGACTTACAGATATCAGCAGGATAAAAGAATGATATAAAAAGCTCAGCTCAACATTAGAACATCCCAAAGAAATTCTGGCTGTATATACATGTAATAGCAATATCCCCTCTACCTTGAACAGTGAGCTCAACTGCTCTTTGATCTTCTCCTGCATCATTTGACACAGAGCACTCGTAGACAGCAGTGTCATCCACAGTGGGAGAAATGATTACTAAGGAACCTGAAGACAGAAGTCTGAACAAAGAAAAGAGAAGAAAGGAAAAATCATTGAAATACTTCTTTTCTTCTCAGGTAAGCAGACCACTGAATTTGCTGGCTATACAACACTGCATTTCAGCATGGCTAGATTTTTACGGTGCTAAAACCATCCCTGAAAACCCATGGTGAAAAGAAAACATCTCTCACCTGTATGTATTCTGATTCTGGTCAACACTAAGAAGATGCCCATTCTTTTTCCAGCTAATTGCTGGCCTGGGAATTCCAGTGGTTTCACAAGGCAAAGTGGTCTGCACATTTACAGTAACTGTAATATTTGTATGTCCGGGAGCAATAGTTGGAGGAACTGAGGACAAACAAAGCCTAATTACTCAGAATAATTATACACAGATGCCCACACCACCCTCTCATACCTATATATATAGAGCTGAACTGCCTGAATGCATTCACTCTATTTTTATAAAGAGTAACTTGATAGCAATAAACTTACTAAAGATGTAGCATGGGATGTGTCAAGTCTTTCTAGTTCCAGTGCGCAAGGAGTGAGTATTTTATTTTCTTTCCATGAACATTTAGGTTGCATTCCTAAGGCCATAAATGTATTCCTTCCCCCACCCCCTTTTCCTTTGTTAAAGCAGAACAGCTAAAAAGGGCCTAAACTTAAAACTGGATCTGGCAGAACAAGATAAACATGTAACTGGCCTTCAGGCTTGTAAAAATGAAGTCCTCCAAAGCCGAAACTTACCCAGAACCTGCAGATCCGTCCGTTTGCGCTCGGTGCCGGCCGCGTTGGTGGCCATGCACACGTACCGCCCCGTGTCGCTCACGTGTGCTGAGTGGATGTGCAGGGATCCATCCTCTGACATGGAATACCTGGAACAAAGACACAGAATTTTTCTTCTGCTCTCCAGTCATCAACAGAACCACCAGCTACCCTGGTAGCACAGAAGGAAAAGATGACTCAGGGTACACAACCAATAGCCTAAACACGTGGTGTCTTAATTTGGGCACATAGAGCTTTCTCATTTATTGCATTTATTCTGACTTCATTCTTTCCCAGCACATCCATTTCCCAGAGAAATTATGAAATATAGCTGACATAGTGATTCCATATAAATGATGACAGATTTGCAGAAAATATCCCAAAGCCTCTTTTATGGTTTCTCATTTAACCATAAAACACCCTAATTAATGCTTGTGCATTTTCTTTTTACTTTGAACTATAACTGAATTCTTTAGCATTTGCTCAGGTCCAGAAAATGCCAAAAAAAATTAGAAGATAGAAACCATTCAGTAAAATACAAGTTGATACTAGAACATGTATATATTTTTGGCTTCATCCCGAAACTCCATATATATACAAAAATACAAAGATTTTTTTTCACATTTATAATTTGACATTTTTAGTATCAGAAGATTATTATTACATTTGGTTGCCAAAGGATTTTTTAGTCCTTCTTAACAATCAAAGGATGAAACTTTTGGTACTGCTATTTTTCTGTAGAGCAACTTTTTTATATCTATAGCCATATTTTCCACATTTGGGTCTATTTGAGATGATAGCACAAATACTAGTTCTGATCTGTGAAAACAAAACTACTTTACAAGTCATAGATGTCTAATAAAGCTTTCTGTAATTAATCTATTATTAAAAAACACAGTGAAGAATATTTATGCTGACTTCGGGACAATACCTCGTATTGTTCCTAGTGAAAATAGCCCCATCCTTCCTCCACGTAATCCTTGGGGCTGGGACTCCTTCTGCAGCACACTCCAGCACCACAGAAGCATTTATATGCACAACAGCAGTCTGAGGGCTGCTTTGGATGGTAGGAGCCACTGGAAAGGGAAAAATCACTGGTGATAGAAGAAAAAAACCTTCACACTGCAACGACTGAAAGTAACCCCATGAAAACAGACACAGTAACAGGTATGGGGATCACTGCAGAGACAGAAACAAGCTTCTTACCGTTCTGTGCAGTGTACAGCTACTGCCACGATGCAGCAGGGAATGAAAAAGAAAGTTTGTTGGAAATGCACTGCAAAGATCACTTTTGCAAGTTACTGCAAAGGTTATTGTATAGCTGAAACAGTAAAAAGAGTCCAGCACATGTAATTCAGCAAAATAAGGCTGTGGTGATATCCTTGCTTCCTAATTATAAGTTAAGGAGAAAAAAGAATTTTAATTGGACCAGTAAGGACAGGTACAAATGACTGGCTTGTGAACAGAACAGAAACAGGAAAGAAGTTTCCTATCATCACCCAAGTGTGAGAATAGAATAGTATCTCACCAGACTAGAGGTGAGGAAATGAACAGGTTTAAAATTAAATTCAGGCCAAGGAGGAAACCCCAGGACAAGGAGGTGCATAGGGCCCTTCAAGGCCTATCTTCCTGCTGTCTCCTGCTTACAGGTGCAGAGAAGCAGTCACAGTTTTCTGGTAGCCAAGCCAGCTATGAAACCTAGTCCCCAAAGTTGCCAGTCAACCTGGATGTATCCTGACTGTGTCAGGATGATGGCTAGATGCACAGCACCCTCCATCAGCAGGGAGCACAGACAGATGGAGAGTGAGTCAGGGTGAGTCCACAACAGGTCCTTTAGTGTGGGGGACAAACATGGACTTGGGTGGTGGCACACATGAGGTCATACCCATGGTCCCACAGTTTAGACACAGTCTAAGCAGCCAACACGTGCCTAGAAAGAGACAAGTGATGCTTCTATCTTGCCATTTGGGCTCCTGCAGAGGTAGCATGCAAAGGCCAAAGCACACACGAGGGGGTGCATCGTTTTACCATGCACGGCCAGCAGGAAGTCCCTGGTGGTCTCCCCGGCGACGTTCCTGGCCAGGCAGGTGTAGCTGGCGGCATCGCCCAGCTCGGCGTTATTGATCTGCAGGTAGCGCCCGCCAGACAGGACTCGGACTCGAGGAGTTCCCTAAGGGGGCAGAGAGAGAGAGAGTTGGACAGATTTAACCCCACCAGTCTTCTCTTTATGAGGAGAGAACATTCTTTTGTTGCAGAGTAATAAAAGCCATGAAAGAAGGCCAAAGATAAACCAGGGACTGAATTCATTGCTGGTTTAACTTCATTTACAGCCCTGAAGATAACAGGGTAAACAAAGGGGTTTTTTAAAATTATCATTGTTTAATGGGTCTCCCTTGAAACTCCTACTGGAATTTGTACCTGAATAACACATTTTTTGGGGGCTACATAGTCAAAGGGCTTTTGAATTTTTAATAGAACGGGGCAGCTAAAAGCACACAATGAATTTTATTTACGTTTGTGAAAATCCACGCACAATACAGGCAGAAGAAAGATATTTCTCTGTGCTGTTCTTCAAACATCACAGTCTATCAGGTGGGAGTCAGTATAAACTTAGCCTGCTAACTTTACTAGCCAGCAAGTTTACTAGCAAGCACTTCTGAATCTGAGGATACCACTCTTCTCCTCTCTGCAATGACTCCACAGTACCTCCTAGGTAGCTATTTGAAGTCAAAACTTTTTACGATAGAATTGTTTAGGTTGGAAAAGATCTTGAAGATCATCAAGTTCAACCATTAATCAATTATTGCCAATTCCATCACCAAACCATGTCCCCCAGCACCATATCGACACAGCTTTTAAAGCCCTCCAAGGATGGGGGCTCTACCACTGCCCTGGGCAGCCCAGTGCAGGGCTTGACAAGCCTTTCAGGGAAGACATTTTTCCCAGTGTCCAATCTAAACCTCTCCTGCTGCAACTTGAGGCCATTTGATATGACCACAACCAGTCCAGGTCATGTCTGCAGGAATGACTGATAGTAATATCAACTACAAGTGCTCAAAAATCCTAACTGGATTTAAACCCAAAACAGTAGAAAAGAAGAGGAACTCAAACTTTTCATGTCTGCATGAATGACTGATAGTAATATCAACTACAAGTGCTCAAAAATCCTAACTGGATTTAAAAAAAAACCAAAACAGTAGAAAAGAAGAGGAACTAAAACTTTTCCAGTGTGTGTTACTCACACTTCAGATGACAGTGAAAGCTGCTAGTTTCTCTACTCTTTTGGTTAGAAGATCTGAGAATAGCCACTACAACAGATAGGTGAAACTCCTCCATTTCTGCCCTTCTCTGCACTACTACCTGGTATGTTGGTCTCATCCTAGGCACCAACACAGCCAGCCTACCAACATAGAACAAACAGCAGTGCTGGAGCCTCAGAGGCAAAATGGTTCACCACTGCACTGGACTACAGTCAGATTTGGGGTAATAACTGGTATTTCCTGTTGAGTACACAGTCTATGTCAAGGTACATCAGAGAAATCATCTTTGAAAAACACCACAAATTAAGCAATTCTTTTACTGTTTAACTATAGCCAGATGAGTTCAAGATGCTCCTACCTACTTCTTAATACTCACAATGTGCATTTCTAAATCAATGAAGAGTGCAAGGACTCCAAAGCTGCTAGAGGCTAGATCTTGCTATAGTTTTACTACCAAAACCAGTAATGCTGCACATCATTAAGAGTACAAAGGTCTAGAGTAGACCTCCAAATCTTCACAGTGGAGGACAACAAAACCAGGAGGAATGACACTCTCCACCACAAGGCTGTATCACAACAAAGCAGGTATGATTTAAGTTGAAGTAACACTGCAGCCTGAGATCCTGACTTCCTCCAATCATGTCCTGTCACTGTGAAATCTCAATTTTTCCAAGATAGGGAGGATGAAAAGCTACAGAGCACCTCTTGTTGCACACCTAAGGAGAGCTTTTCCCAAGCTGTTTAGCTTGGCTAGGAGTCTGTTACATTGCTTTGAGGTTGAGAAAGCAATCAGGCATTCAGGAGGACACTAATGTTTTCCCCAAATCTGGAGCAGTTATTTATATAAACTAAGTTCAAGTATGAAAAGGATGGCAGGGAACAGAATAAACCTACAACTGCTACCTAAAGTACACATGACAAATTAAGAGTGCCATGTCTGAAGGAAATTTATAACTTAAATTTAGTGCTGGAGGACAGCTAGCTCTAGAGACTGAAATTCCCTACTTTACTGTCATAGAATGGTTTGGGTTGGAAGGGACCTTGACCATACCACACAACCAAGATGCCTCAGCCCTCACATCCTGATGTGAGCTCCTGAGGAAGAGGAAAACTACAATGACAGAAGTCAATTCACAGGTTAAGCTGAGTATCTACACCTATTATAGTGTTCCTCTATTGCTTTGGTTTCTAGTGAATATTTGTACCAAGCTTCTTTTCATGGTTTAAGCATTGCTGTCAAAACACAAGCTTTCCAACGAAGACTGAGGGAAAAAGTATTCACACACTTAACTTCCAAGCCTTATTCAACCTTGCTGTCCTAAGGAGAAAAAAATTAAACCCCCAGACCTCTATCCAATTAAAGAATTAAGCATTCAGAAGAAGAGTGGTTTTGTTAAACTTGATCCTAGTAAGTCTTGTGCTGTATTAAAGGTAACATTCCCTAGAAGCACTTAGTAAGACATCACTGCCCACCATATTCTTACTTCTTCCACTAATATTTAATTCCTCTGAATTTACAATAGAGGAAGAGCCTGAGGAATGGCATGCCAGAAGGAAAACAAACAAAGCAGAATTTTGGGTGAAGACTACTGATAGACTACAGTTAAAGAAGACACAATTCATAAGCTGAATTTGTTTCCATTTTATTAATGACTGAAAATCAATTGAAAGAAAATTATTAATTAAGTTCAAGTAATAACAGAACTTAAATTGTTTGATTGGAAAGCATCTAGTTTCTGAGTGATCCCCAAGGAAGAGAATGGGAAGGAAAAAGTTATTCCTATATAAACCCTCCTCATCTTGCTAATTGTCTCTCAACCAGCAAAGATTTGATGCCTTAACATGACACTACATGGAATTCTGAGTGAAAAAGATGCATTTGATCCAACACTGTGGTGATAGAAACCCATTTTCTTGTCTTTTTTTTTCTTTTCCCCAACATAAAGAATTTAAATTCCTTTCTAAATGCTACTAGAATAGGAGGATGCAGAATATACCCAAAGGAAACATATAGTGTAGTCTTTTCTCAGCTACCTTTCCTGGGAAGCCATTCAGGAGTATACCGAAGGCTTCTAGCATTGTTCAGAGGATCCAGGAGGAGCAAGGGATCCCCCTAAAGGAAAAAAGAACAAGTAACAGCGGGATGGCCACTTCAAGTGCTTGCTAGCTTCAGGTACTCATTTAGGACTAACTGGATTTGTACTGGGGCTACTCAGCTTCTCTTGAATTCAAGGCACTGTAACTTGGTCTGCACTGAAGGGACAAGTGAGTAGAATAAGAAACCTCAAGCACTGTGTGTAAAAAACAAAGGGAGCAGAAGACTAGTACAAATAATGTAACCACTGTACCTCTAGAAGTTCTCCATTTTTAAGCCATGAGATCGTTGGAGGTGGCACAGCATCTGACTTGCATTCCAGTATAACTTGTCTGTTCTGCAGCACAGTCAGGTCCTGTGGAGCACTGGTACCAGCAATGTTAGGGGGAACTGTTACAGAAATTAAGAAAAAAAAAAAATAACCACCATACACACGAGCGATCATTAAAATTATTCACTGAAAATTTCCAATGTATTTCTTAAGTTTAAAATAAATGCAAAGTTACAGTATCATTAATTAGTTTTACTTCTCAATACCCATCTTAAAGATACCACATGGTGAACCTGTTTCTTAACTCACACACTGGTAACTACTGTGGCAGAAATTAAAGTCCACTCTCAGTGAGACTGCAGGAGTTTAAGCCAGACAGAGAAGAGGTCACTGCAGTTCCAGAAACTGTTCATGAATAAACACAGGACTTGTAATCTTCAAGAAGAAACCCCAGGCACACCGGAGAACTGCAGAAGCCCCATTTTTGCCTACTTTACTGTCACCATGTTTTATGTATTCATTTCTAAATACTTTTCTTACCTTTTTCTACTGAAAAACTAAGATGATCATAGGTATTAAACTTCATATCCTTTTCCAGTAAGCACAGTGAACTCAACACAATTGACTACTGATATCTATAAACTTCCTAGGTATCCATAACATGAGACTTGGAATTCTAACGCATCATTTGCAGCAGGTGGAGATTTCCCTTTTAATTCTGTATCATGTTCAGAATTGTTACTCCTCAAAACATGTAATATTTCTTTAGTAATATATAACTTGTTAAACAAGATACTGATATGTACCTTAGGAGTTTACACTTTGAAGGAATAATTTTTTTCCCGAAATTAAACTTACCATGCACTCTTACTAAATATTCCTTATCATCATCTCCTGCTGGGCTAGATGCCAAACACGTGTATCTTCCTGTGTCCTCCACCTAGAAACACAAGAACAACTTCAGCAGAAACCCCAGAATATGGGAACAACCCAGAAAAAATGGGACATACAAACATGGACGAGGATATGTAACAGGCAGCACTTGAACACAAACACTATAGACAAGAAATGCTTGAAAAAGAATTTATGAACTTCTTGAAAACTTTATCTTACCATGGTGCGATTGTGCAGAGATGGCTTAGCAGCTGAGGAACCCCATAAAATCTCTCTGGATATCATGTCTCCAGCAAGAACCCTTCTCTTTGTGATGCTTTTTGCAACACGTAATCAATAAAGTTGGAAGTAGCTACAAGCATCCCTCTAAGCAAGGGTCAGTTTTGGGTACTAAGGAAACCTTTCTGAGCACACACATGCATTAATATCTTTATACTCCCTCTTCTCTATGCACTCTGCATTGTAAAGTGTTTGCTTTACAAACAAAACAAGCAGCAGTCAGTCCGGAGCCCTGTCCCACTTCTGTCTGGTGAACTTTAATCTGGCTCTCCACAGCCGAGTACAGCCTTAGTTCACTAGTACAGGATTTTAAAGGTTATTTTTTCCTGGACTCTTTTATTGTCTGAATTAAACTGAAAGTCTTTTGATTGTCCTTATTCTTTTTTAACTTGCACATAGATGACTGCAAATGCAGCTTTTCTCTGTGATCTATGGCTTATACATAGAATAATTCTGGTTGGAAGAGACCTTCAACATCATCAAGTCCAACATGTGAGAAGCAAATGGATATTAGGAAAATCCCAGCTAACGGAAAGAATTAATTAATAAGACAGGCTGAGGAGGAGCTATAAAACAATAAAAGAGAAGAAGCAAAAGATTGTAACAAGAGTCAAACAGGAAGGAAATGAACAAGAACAGATAACAGACAGACTAAAAACAGAAATAACTTCAGAAAAAAAGATGAGTCCCTAGCATTGACAGTTCTGCTTTGCAACAAGAAGCACCAATAAATAAAAAATAATAGAGAACCCTGAAATGAAATTGAAGTAATAATGCTCAGATACGGGACAAGTGCCTGGGCATGCTCAGTGCATAATACTACTTCTTGCTCTTCATGGAAGCTCCAAGGCAAGGCTTGAAAAAGATATCCTCTAGACACAAATGCAGGTGGATGATTTTATAGAGTTTTTTTAGGACATCTCTTAAGGATGGTCCTTACAGAAAGCAGTTCTCTGCATTCCTTGAGGGTTTGCAAAACTGAGCCTATTCTTCAACAAACCCTCTACCTGAGCACTGGTTATTCGAAGGACTTCTCTCAGGACATGAACATTGTCATTCTGCAGAAGTGGGCGCCCATCCTTCATCCATGAGATTTTGGGGACTGGAATGCCAGAAGAGATGCAGAGAAGTTCAAGAGGGTTGTTAACAATGACAGAGAGCTCTTCTGGTTCATCTGAACCATTGATGTGGGGCGGCTCTGTGGAAGGAAAACCAGTAGAGTTCTTTATTAACTCAAAAAGCCTATAAAACATGATACACAGCCTCGTGGTTAGAGTTTCTAGAATTAGTTTAGGTTAGTTTTATTTCTGAGTCACAAACTCACTGAGTATCTCATAGAATGGCCATGTGCCTCTGTCTATTGATTTATATATTTTCTGAGCTAGGGTTATTAGTTAGAAAATGTTTTCATAATCACAGGTAAAATACATTATATAATACCAGTGAATTTATTTATTAGCCCTGTAGCTGTTGTAAAAACATAGACCCATGGAATCATTTTGATTGGAAGAGACTTTTAAGATCATTGAGCCTAACCACTAACCCAGCACTGCCAGGGCACCACTAAACCATGTCCCTCAGCACCACACCTACACAGCTTTTCAATCCCTCCAGGGATGGGGACTCCAGCACTGCCCTGGACAGCCTGGTCCAGGCCTTGATAACTGTTTTGGGGATGACATTTTTTCCTCATGTCCAATCTGAACTTCCCTTGGCACAACTTGAGGCCATTTCCTCTTGTCCTTTCACTTGTTCCTTGCTAGAAGAGAGCAACCCTCACCTCACTCCAGACTCCTGTCAGGGAGTTGTTGAGAGTGACATGGTCTCCCCTGAGCCTCCTTTTCTCCAGGCTAAACAACCCCAGGTCCCTCAGCCACTCCTCAGAAGAACTGTGCTCTAGACCCTAAGAACTAACTACCTTCAGCTGTTCTATCATCCTCTTAAGCTGCTGTTGTACTAATCAAAGTTACTTATTTGAACCAAACTGCTTCGTAAATTAGGTTACTGTTAATTCTAGCATATTTCAGTACTCAGGAAACATTGGGAAAAAATATATACTACATATACACATTCACACATCTTTAGGTAGCTATCATTTATTTATTTCTCTTATTTATCACAGTAAGCATTTCTTAAAAATACTACTTAATCCCTAGAGATTTTTAAAAGTGTTGTCCTGAGTAGATACTCATTTACAGCTCTCATTTTGTTCCTCTGAAAGTTTAACACTTACCCAGCACATTTAGAGAAAAGTGCTTGCTGACATCTCCAGCTTCATTGGATGCTACACAGGTGTATTTGCCTGTATCACCAATCTCTGCTTTTACAAAATGAAGGACCATTCCTTGGTTGCTTGATGTCAGGTGAGCTCCAAGTATCAGAGGATGTCCATCTTTAAACCAGGACATGGTGGGGGCAGGCGTGCCATCAGTAAGACACTTCATCAAAGCTGAATTGCCTTTTAGTACAGTCACATCCTCCGTTCCTCCTGCATTATCCAGGCTTGGTGGCACTGCCAAGGAACAAAGATCTGGTTCTTACAGAGTACAACCCAGGTGTTCATTCTAAAAGTAAAAAAAGCTGGAATGCAGCTACCCTTTTGCATTTCCTCACTTATATTCATGCTTAGCACGTGTGTTAAAATTCACTTAGAAATCGTGTATTATGATTCTTTCTAAAAAACCTGTGACATATTATGGGTGTCAGTTTAAGTAAGGACTCTTCTGGGGTTACAACACTTTTCATTAAAAGAACTCATTGAAAAGTTCCTGTTTCCTTAGTGATTACCTATGTACGATACACTTGTGGTTGTCTGCAACTTCGTGTTGATGCGAAAAACTGGATAGTATATTTAAGTTAAGAAATAGGAATCTTTACATAAAGCATTTCAGAGAAACTCACCAAAAACTTGAAGGCTGTAATGTTTGTTGTCCACTCCAGCCTTGTTAGATGCTACACAGGTGTACACACCAGTATCAGAAATCTGCACTCGGGCAAGTCTAAAAAGAAAATCATTTTAAACAAGTTGTAAATGGAATAATGGAATTTTCTCTATTATGGCATGATTTGGATCAAAGTCTGTTCTTGCTTACAAAAATGCTAGCAGAATTACGTTGATAGAGGAAAAGAGAGGAGAAAACTCGGCTAGTTAAAACAGATGAAAACCAACCTGAGAATTTGCCCCGCTGAGAGCAGCCTGATTTGGGAGGAGACAGACAAAGGAAGGCCATTCTTTAGCCAGTTTATCTGTGGTGCTGGCGTTCCAGTAGCAGTACATTCAATATTTAGGGAGGTGTCCAAAAGGGCAGTGAGGTCCTCTGGTTCATCTTTATTATTGGCTATTGTTGGAGGAACTACATTTTGTAAATGTTGAAAAGGAAGATATTAAAACTGGCTCTTAAAATCATTCCACATGTGTTACCTGGCAGGAAATCCTGCACCTAAAGCCCCACAGGCAATTCAATACAAAGAAGCCCATTTTTATAAAGAGTAAATCCTCTAACAAAAATATTGAGCAGCTAAAAATTATCCATTTTACATATTTAAAATCAGATGCACTTCAGAATGACAGTAGAATTAACTCTGATTTGTCAAGCTGTGGCAAACAAGAGGGAACTCAGAGCCTGGAACTCATGGGGAGAGGCTGACAATGCAGGAAGGAGCAAGTGGTCAAGCCTTAGTGGGGCTGGGCTGAACTGCTCAAGGGCCAGATGGGACTTGGCAGTTTGCTGCCACTCCAACTGATCTCCTTACATAAATCCTAAACAAAGTGAAAGCTAAAATCATGCAGGAGGACAATAAATGTATTAACTTCTAGATGTGTGCTGACTGAATTTTTAAATATAGAAAATTTCAGAATGTCTAAGTATTCTGGCTGATTATTTTAACAGAAGTTTTTTCTGGGATTCTAGGTTTTATTGGCTAGTTTGAAAGCCTTGGTCCTGGGGTTAAGAGAGGACCCAGTAATATAAAGAAGGCCCAAAGCCATGCAGCTCCAAGCTCTGACTTAAGATTCCATTCCACACCATGACAATTTCAAAGGTAAGAGCATTTAAGCTGGTTATTGCTTGAACCTCAACCAATACAAATTGATCAAAAAGTCTCCACTGTTGCATGGTGCCATTCTGTCCCCGAAAGATGTGATGTGGTCATTTGGCATTGTTATTTATTATATCAAAAGTCATCTCTTGCTACTCTGCTCATGCTCATGTTCCAACAGAGTCTGTATAACTGGGACAGACACCTACACCCCTGTGAAAAGTTGCTCGTGCAGAACTCTTCACTCTTTCACAGTAGTCATTGCACTTCATGGACACATTTTTCAGAAATTAAAATGTCTACTCTACACTACTAAAGAAGAGTTATGCTCACTATCTTCTCCATGTCAAATTGTACAAGACAAAAATTTCAACAAAAAACTCTCTGTTTTCTTTTAAACTCTAGGTCTTTCAACTCTTGGTTCCCTACCATACTTGCTCTGGTTCTAGTCGATCTACTTTGATTGGAATTAGTGAAGAAAAACCAATACAACAAAAAAAAAACAGTAAATCAGCCCCAAGGGTACCTTTCTCTACAAGAGGAAAAAAAGATCACAGCAAGCATAATTCCTTTATTATGAAATACAGCAAAGAAAGTAATTTCTGTTTATCCCAAAACACATTCACCAGTGATTTCAATCTTTCTGTCACTGACAGAACATCCTGTGTAATACACCATGACATCTACAATACATGAAATTGGAAACACATGCATGTAGTATTACACTGGAGACAGGCCCTCCTTCCCTGGCCCTCTCCTGGGAGTGCTAACTAAGACAGGATTACGGAGCAGATTTCAGTTTCACATCTGTGAAGACTCACCGTCCACCTTCAAGTTGAAAATTCGGTCTTCCTCTCCAGCAGGATTAGTAGCCACACAAGTGTATTTTCCAGTATCAGAACTGAGAGCTCTGAAAATGTTTAATGTGCTGCCATCTGGAGTTACTCTACAAAGAAGGTCATAAAACACAGTGAGCTTGTTTACTTATTCCTATGACCTGGCACAGAAACTGTTTTGTACATGTAAACCAACCACCTCTATCCTCTTGGGAATTTGGTGACACAACTATTGTTTTTTTTCCCCAATATTGTTATTAGAGATAGGTTAAGGGTTTTTCTCCTAGAGATGTTCTGTTTAGCCTTGTGTTAGGATTCCATTCTAACCAGGCTTTTGAAGAATCCAAAATAAAAATATCAAGAGTAAATTGTTTCCATGTCTTAGACCTTTCCCCTCCAAAGGTATTTAATGGAACTTACCCACCTTAGAAAACTTTAATGAATCTGATGAACTTTAATGGAAATTTTTAAGTGAGAAGAAAATATATACTATATGCTCAACTCTGTACAAAATAAAATCCCAGTAGTAACAAAGTATACTAGATTTAGAGAAGCTGAAGAAAGAGATGTTCTCAACCTGGCTACACCATGACTCAGGCCCTCTTTACACTCGCTCCTTAGGGCTTTCTTTTATGCTCCCTCTTTAGGGCCCTCTGAGATTTAACATTTTAGAGGAAGAGAATGCAGCGCCTGCTTATTTTTGCTTGCCTTAGTCTCTCCAAATCATCACTGGCAACTATTTTTCCATCTTTAAGCCACTCCATAACAGGCGTGGGCACTCCATGGGCATTGCAGACGAGCTGGATGCTTTCTCCCAGGAGGACACTGACCTCACTAGGCATTTCAGAGCCAACAATATTAGGAGGAACTGGAAATCAATGATGCAGAGAAGATTCATCAGCAAGAAACATTAAATCTAAACTGTAAAAGCTTACACTGGAGAAGCTTGTAAGTAGTAACATTTATTGCAGTACCTCCGTTTGAATCTAGTTTAGAAAGTACATGTTTATATCATTTCTAGAGATAAATTTCAAGCCACTTTAACCATTGCTTAAAACAGCCAATTTACAAAACTATAAAAAACATGTATCTTTGGCATTATATGCAGCATCTACCATTATCTGTTTAAACAATGCTAACATGTACAAAAATATGATAACAAAATCCCATTTCATTAAACATCAAAATGCACTGTAACAAATGCCCATTAAACTCTTGGAGCTTGTGCTTAGTGCACAGTCAAATGCTCTACTGCACCAAGACCATCATAATCCTGTTAACAGCCACACACTGACTCCATCCTAACCAGCAGCTGCTTTCATCCTGCTCCTGAAGAGCAAGGATCCTATCCATCAAGTCAAGACTCAGTCCCACTATAAGTTTTGAGTATTTCAAGTGATTTCAGTCACAAGCAGCTCGAGATTCAACGCCTAAGCTTGAGGATCAACCAGCAGGCAGGCAAGGAGACACACAAAACCCAGCAAAAAGAACAATCGCTATGATGAATAGTTCCCAGCTCTGTTTGGCCTGCTGATGGCCAGCTATCACCCATGGGTGCGCAAGCACACTCAGCTCACAGCTGAAGCTGCCTCTTCTTCCTCAAACAGCAGCTGCTGGCACGGGAAGGGACAACGGCAGAAAGCTGAAGATGCTACATAACAGGTGTCTTATTGTACATGGGAGGGAACCAGTGCAGTTAACAGGGATGAGACATTAGGAGCAGAGGACAACAGCTAGTTGCAGCATAAGGGTGATGTGCAGTGAGGCAGGAGACAACTCCGTAACAAATAAGGGAAATAAGGATTTTGCATTTGAGCAGGGGAGAAAAAAAATCATAAGGAAAATCTGGTAGTATTTCACAGAATCATAGAAGGTTTGGGTTGGAAAGGACCTTAAAGATCATCTGGTTCCAACCCCCCTGCCATGGGCAGGGATACCTCCTGCAGGACCAGGATTCTCAAAGCCCCATCCAACCTGGTCTTGAACACCTCCAGTGATGGAGCATCCACAACTTCCCCATGCCAATATCTCACCTCCCTCAGAATGAAGAACTTCTTCCTAATTTCTAATCTAAATCGACCCTCTTCTAGTTTGAATCCATTACCACACATCCTATCACAACAAGGTCTTGTAAATTGTCCCTCCCCTGCTTTTTTCCTTGCTGTCTCCTATTTGCTATGGCAAACAAGGCACCATGTATCACTATTGTATGTGTGGTGCTCCACACTCATCAACCATAACAGCTTCAGTGCTCAGCAGGAGGAAGGATGTGATTAGCAGCACACAGAGCCTTCCCAGTGGCTTACAAGGTCTCCTACAATCACAGCTTAAGAATATTCCTTGTCACGCCAATTTCTAGCAGTATAAACCTCCATTTTTCCCCACTGGTTGCAAATGATAGAAGGAATGGTCCAAATTCTCCACTTTTCTATCTTTCTGTTGTCTCAGTATCTCTAGTACACACCCAGTGTCACACTCAACCAATTATTAACCAGTTCTGCTCACTGCACTCTCACTCCTTACCTTGGATAGAAAGCACATAACTTTTCTGAGCTTTTCCCTCTATATTTGAGGCAACACATGTGTAGGTCCCACTGTCTAGAAGCTGAGAGCGAGCAATCTGAAGCTTGCTTCCACCAGACAAAATGTGAACATCAAGAGAATCGGAGTTTTCTGAAAATATGTGAACAGGTAGTCATTCCAAACCAGGGAGAAAATGCATCTTGAGAAATTTTTTCATCAAAATTTCAAAACAAAACCAAGATTCTTATCAGGTAACATAAGAGTCTGTCAAGACACAGATATATTAAAAAAAAAAAACCAAACCGCCAGATATCAAATAGCACAGTGGTGCCCCAAAGGGCAGAAAAAGAGCAGAAAAGAGCATAAGAAAACATTACCTATTGGTTTTCCATTCCTAAGCCACACTAATGTAGGTGGAGGAATTCCAGTAGCATCACACACAAAGGTAACAGGATTACTGATGGTTTCGTTGACTGACTCTTCTTCAGGGCCTTCTATATTTGGTGGCACTATAAATGGAATGGAAGCAATAAGAATGGTTTGGTTACCAAAGATTTTTGTGAACCAGCTTTGAATTGTCTACTCTACAACGTCGATGGTTTTACAATAACTGCTGCAGATAATGCAGAGTATGCTCACCATAAACATTAAGATGGAAATTTTTATCATCTCGCCCTGCAATATTTATGGCTTTGCACACATATTGGCCCGTGTCAGAAACCTAAAATAAAAATAAATTTAAAAAACCTTATTATGGAGTCTCATTTTAATGCTAGAGTTTAGAGATATTAACAGCCTCTGCCAACTCAAGGTCCTTTCCAACAAATGAAAGGCCTCTTTCAAATACAAGTCCTACGTACAGCCAGTAGAATACACTAATAAAGAGCAAAATAATTGCTTAAGAGTAGTAGAAGCTGTGTCCCACAGGGCTGGCCTACCTCTGCACCCTTGATTCGTAACGTTTGCCCGCCTGCTAAGATCTCCACCTTTGCAGACTCTGAAATGATGTGCCTGTTCTTGTACCAGGTGATGACTGGTGGTGGAATAGCATTGGATTCACACTCTAACATCACTGGGGTGCCCACTCTCACGTTCAGCACTGTCACTGACGTTCCACTATGGTCTTTAATGCTTGGGGGCACTGCAGAAGAAGCTCAGAGTTATTTCTGCCTTTGTTTTGTGAGAAGGCAGAAAACAACCTAATAAAAAGAAACACAAAATCTGCATTTTCAAAGTGATGGTTACTAATTCAGAAAATAGTAAAAAACAAACCAAGGACAGTTAGGAAACTCTTCTTCTGACTTTCCCCAGCTTGGTTTCTGGCAATACAAGTATATTCACCATCATCTGGTAGTTTGGCTCGGGGAATCTGCAGAGTCCGAGCACCTGAAGTAAAGAGAGAAGGCTTGAGACTTTTTCCATGGTTATAGTATTCATCTCAAATGCTATTTTAAAATTTTAGGTCCAACAGACTGGGCACAGGCAGTAAATTAACCTCAGATTCAAAAAATCATTGCACTGCCACTGCTTGTTAAGTTTCATTAACTTTTTTTTTTTTTTTTTAAATTAAATTCACTCAAGAGAACTCAAATTTTAGAGTGAATTTTATTCGTGCTGTCAGTTGCTGGCTTGGGTGGCAAATCCTCCTTTTAGACCTGTTTGTTTTGTAGCTGCTAGCTGCTGTCTCCTAGCAGAACTATCTTCCTTCCACCTTGTCACTATCCCATTTATTCCTCAGTCTCCACACTTGAAGCTCCTCACTGCCTGTGCCCACGTTGCTGATCCGCACAGAGCCCTCCACTGCCATGAAGCCATCTCCTTGTCCACGCCTTAAGTCTCTGCTGCAGCACAGCCCCCAGACCCTTATACCAGCAAGGCAGGACTGCACAGCACAGCAAGTGATCTTCACCCAGACAAGCATGTGCCTTACTATAGTGAGGAGCTTCAAATGGTTAAGGAGATGTCAGAATACAAAGTTTTGGGCACCTCCATACAAGAAAGACATCGAGGTGCTGGAGCATGTCCAGAGATGGGCAACAAAGCTGGTGAAAGGCCTGGAGCACAAGTCTTGTGAGGAGTGGTTGAGGGAACTGTGGCTATTTAGTCTGGAGCAAAGGAAGCTCAGGGAAGACCTTCTCACTCCCTACAGCTCCCTGAAGGGAGGCTGTAAAAGAGGAAATGGCCTCAAGTTGTGCCAGAGGAGTTTTAGGTTAGATGTTAGGAAAAAGCTTTTCTTCACTGAACAGGTTGACAAGCTCTGGAACAGGTTGCCCAGGCCACTGGTTGAATCACCATCCCTAGATGTGTCTAAAAGTCATGTAGATGTGGTGCTTAGACACATGGTTTAGCAGTGGACTTGTCAGAGTCAGGTTAATGGTTAGACTTAATGATCTTAAAGGTCTTTTCCAATTGAAACAATTCTATGATTTCCTCCTGAGATTCCAGCAGGGTTAAACCTGGTTTCCCACCAAAGTCTTCAGGAAGGCCCTTTGTTATCTGAAAAAGCAGAACTTCTCTCAGTCACAATTTCTGATAATTTCCTTGGAAGGTGAGTCAAAATAACTCAACTTTAATCAATACCTGTGTCAGACCACATCTGTTATGTGATTTACCCTCTAGTCTTCTCCAGACAGTTTTATTTCAGTATTTTCAGTATGAGTCAGTTTTCTTCAAAAGTGAACCCACCCAACAGCCAAGAAATTATTAAACACAGTAGGCCAAGTGGAGCAATACTAAGAATATACTGGCTCCATAAATAGTGGCCACTGCACTTATCAAGACAAAACAGACAACAGTTGGGTCCAAAGGCTGTAGAAATAGCTGAGATTCCTCACCAGGCACGATAAAAGTGTTGGTATTCGAGCTGATAGGTTTCCCATTCTTGAGCCAGCTGAGATCAGGAGGTGGAAAGCCAGTGACCTCACAAGTCAGCGAGATGAAATTATTCACTACCACAGTCAAGTTCTCAGGATTAGTACCAATAATACTTGGAGGAACTGTGGAGAGAAATAGATGAATAGTACCTATCACAGCATCAGCAAACAATATTCCAAAAGACCCTGAACTACTAAAATAAATCTGAATTCCAGAGTTTTGTCAAAGGGCCAAGTTGCAGGAATCTTTCACACACTATGAATGGATCTGCTGCTTTTTGGAAATACGACTGATCTAATGGTCATTCCTGTTCTATAATTCACAAAAATTCCAATTATCTCACTTACAGTACTTCTGTGCTGGAGATCTGAGAAGGCTGATTAGCCTCTAAGGGGTCTTGCAGTTCCTGGCTAACTCAATAACATTTTTAAACCACTGTACTCATGGGATACTTTCTCTTTATGGCAGGACAGATTAAATTTACCATGTCAGGATATGTAGGATGACTAAGTATCATTTCTTCTGAAAGAAAGTATTTCTGAAATAGTCCATTTTCTCATTACAGGAAGCCAAAAAGGATTTCTTCTGATACAGTTCAGAGTTCTTTTGTTAACCAGAAAAACTTGTTCTCTAATAGTGAGCTAAGCACTTTAAAATTCTGGCACACAAGCATTGATGTAAAGGGTTCATTTTTAAGCTTACAAGTCCCAGTATTTTTAAATACAATAATATTTTGACATTTGACCTTTGTACAAGAACTATTTAAAATGAAATAACAGTAAATCTCTTCCTTCTAATAAACTCCAAGTTTTAGTTTCCATGTTTTTGCAGCATGGGTATAGAAAAGCAAAAGCATGTTCTTGGCTCTATTGGGTGGAAAAGTAATTCCAAAGAACACATGGAATCCTCTTCTTCAAAGACAGAAACGTTAAAGTAGTTTTGGACCACATCCACCAGAAATACTCCAGCTGCTTTCTGTCACTTGAATGACACAAAACAGTCATTAAGCCAAGTTTATTACTCCTCTGTGGCACTGCAGAAACGAGAGGAGTCAATGTAAATGGGTGAATTCAGTCCATCTTTTCCAACTTGGAATAACTGGAGGTTATTTCCCTGATAATGAGCATGAATCAGTTCACTAGAATAAATGGAGGATTCTGATGTGATGACATTTTATAGTTATTTATATTTATTTACTTTTACAGTTGCTTTCCCACAGATGGGATTATTGGCAGTGCAAGACAGTGGAGAGTTTAATACCCAGGGCCAAGACTTCAAATTCTGCAGCCCCCACTGTGTGTGCAAAGCACTCCCAAATGCAGCACAGGTAATCTGCGTATGCAAAGGGAACTGCATGTGCACCCAGATGCAGTGAAGGGCTCAGTTTGGGTATTTAGTGTGCCAAGTGTGGAACTGAGTGCAGCCTCAGCAAGTCTGCGATGGCACCACGCCAAGCGGTGTGGTTGGCACGCTGGAGGGAAGGGATCCATCCAAGGGGACCCTGAGAGGGGTGAGAGGTGGGCCATGCCAACCTCATGAAGCTCAACAAGGCCAAGCACAAGGTCATGCACTTGGGTCGGGGCAATCCCAAGCACAAATACAGACTGGGCAGGGCATGGATTTAGAGCAGTCCTGAGGAACACACCTGTAGTACTGCGTCCACATCTGTACTACTGCCCTGTACTACTGTGCCTGTAGTACTGCCCCACCAAAAGAAAGGAATGAACCTGTTGGAGCGGGTCCAGAAGATGGCCACAAAGATGACCTACAGGCTGGAAAACCTCTCCTATGAGGACAGGCTGACAGAGTTGGGGTTCTTCAGCCTGGACAACAGAAGGCTCCAGGAAGACCTTCTTGCAGCTTCCCAGTATCTGAAGGGGGCCTTCAAGAAAGCTGGGGAGGGACTTTTCACAAGGCCTTGTAGCAATGGGACAAGGGACAACAGGTTTAAACTGGAAGAGGGTAGATTTAGATTAGAAATTAGGAAGAAGCTCTTCACTATGAGGGTGGTGAGACACTGGAACAGGTTGCCCAGGGAAGCTGTGGATGCTCCATCACTAGAGGTGTTCAGATACCAGACTGCATAGGACTTTGATCAACCTGGTCTAGTAGGAGGTGTCTCTGCCCATGGCAGAGGCATTGGAACAAGATGATCTTCAAGGCCTTTTCCAACCCAAACCATTCCATGACTCTATGATTCTAAAATGACCTATTTATCACATGTCAGGGTTAGAGGTTGGGATTTTAAAACTAGATGTTTATTTTCAATCTTTTGGAGGATTTTTGTTTAGTTTTATTACTCACCTTTGAGACAAGAAGTGAATTTTTCAACTTATTAAATAATGAGTGTCATGCTTAACATTTTATTTAAATTTATGAAAGGAGTTCTGTTAGAAACATACAAAAATGATGAAAAATAACCTTTTTTTGACACTGACAAACAGAAATCACCCTGCTTAGTGATAATGGATTTTCACCAGTGCTTCACCCTGTGTGGTCCTTTCCTGAACAGCTGTAATCTAATTTTTCAAATGAAACTGTATTCACAGAGAATAATATAGACCTACACTGGAAATCCTGTTGAGCTAGAACTGAAGCTTCATACAAATACTTTTTTTAAAGTAATAATGACTATAGCCTAATACTATAAAACAAATATTTAAAAGACAGAAGTCTAAATTAAAACACAAATGTCAAGAAAAGCAAAATATTTTGATTTAAAAACAAAACTCAAACACCAGGAAATCTGGACAGACTCCACTGAAAGAAAATAACTCTCAGAGAATGACTCAAGGGCAAAGTCTTCCCATGACAACACTATTTTTGGCTAATTGTATTACTCAGTAGAAAAAAGCAATATAAAGTTGTTTCATTTAGTATGTAAATTTGCTGCATGCGTGAAGGAGAATAAAAATTGTTTCTTCTGTATGTATTAACCTGAACCATCAGATTCCAGGGATGCTGGTACCACATTTAAGCAAGAGAGAAAAGACAGCACTTTTTTCCCATCTCATATGTAATACAGAAGGACATGAAAAAGGATACTGATTATATGTAGAAGACTGTGATATAGGTCCTCAAATTGTACTGTGAAAGCAGCTGAAGATGCAGCTGCCAGTATTCCTTGGCAAGGTTTTAAAGTGTAACAGTGTAGATGAATATGGGAATAATGCTTATTTGATTTTCAGTTCAAAAAAAGTGAACTTGGTTTTTTTTTTAAAGTGGGGAGATGAAGAGTGTGCTGGGAAATAAAAGGGGAAGCTAGCTGTACTCTGAGATGTTAATTAGAGATATCTGGGTTTTCTGAAGATGTCAGGAATGGTAAGGGAAGGTGGTGGAGAGACTGTTTTTTAAATTAATGAAAAATGCCTTCATTTCTTGATTGCATACATTTCAGATTCGTGATGCTTAAGGTCAAAATTTATTTTAACCCTACTCTAATGCCACAAAAAAAAAGCAAAAAAAAGAACAGAAAGGAATCTTGAAGGGTCATTTTTTTAAAAAGTAAACTTTTACAATGCCATATCTCTTTGTTTATTGCTTTCTGGTCATTAATTTTCTTGGAAAAATGCATTTTATGAATGTATGAAAACGGACTATAATCCACCCTGCTGACAATTTAAGATTTCAGGGCTTAGCAACCCCCAGACATTGTATAAACACAACCACTACACAAGGCTCCCTTAACAATGATTTCCACCTATGTGGAATACATATAAGGAGCTAAAGCCATATGGTATCAAAAGCCCCATGTTGCCAAGGCACTTTAAATGCATGTTTGATTTCTGGTATGTCAGAATCTCCATTACCACAAACAAGACAACTCACATTCAAAGAGACTAAGTATGTGCCTAAGCACTCTGCTAAAATTAACACATTCAGGCTAAACTAACAGTTGAAAGAAGACAATGAGAAAATTATAGATTATTATACTTACCATGAACATTTAGGTTAAAATACTTCTTGGCACTTCCAGCTACATTTTCCACAATGCAGACATACCTGCCAGTATCTGTTATTTGGGAATTCAAAATCTAATGAAAAATAAATAAACAAACAAATAAATAAACACAGCTGTTGAACTAATATGTAAGACAATGTATTGTCAAAGCATCAAGTGAATCCAGTGGAGAGAATTAAGATCAGCTCTCTTAATTGTTTTAATAGTTTAATCCAATTTCATTCATTGCTAGGAAATGGGAGTTCTTCAGTACACACTATTTTCTTGAATTAAAAAAAAAAAATAGCATATTTTGCAATAATTAAACTTTGTTAGGGAAGCTTGGACAAAATTGATAGCAACAGGTTGGTTGTCCTCCACAAATCTCAACCAAGTGATTCCACTGCTGTGGTTCACAGCATGACCCCACAAACAGCTGGGTCAGCACAACTGAGGGGACTACACGGGAGTGAGAAGAAGCAGCTGAGCAACAGGAACAAAGGACAAAAACTCCTCAGGTGTGCAGAAACTTGTAGGAAAAATAAAATAAATTAGATTTGCTGAGTATGCAGTTCTGAACAGTTTTGTCTTTATGGGCAGCTAAAAATTGTTTTTTCATTAAGAGCTACCTGTAACCTCCTTCCATTGGACAAAAAGGTGTGTCTGTCATCTTCAGCTAGGAGCTGGCCATCCTTCTGCCAGGCAATACTTGGAGAAGGGCTGCCACTTGCAGCACAGTCCATCACTGCAACCTTGGTCACAAGCACAGTCACCTCTTCAGGCAGATCGCCATCAGCTCCACTGATGGATGGTGGGACTACAGAAGAGAAAAACGTGAGAAGAATATTGTGATCTAGTGCCTCCCAGCATTTTCTATTGAGTTTTATCTTTTTTAAGTTTGCAGTCCAATCTTTTAGACTGGGGTTTTGGAAGAAAATAATGAAATCTTCAGTGAATACAGCGAAAGATAACAAAATGCCAAAAGTAGTTTGGCTGGAACAAGTCAGTAAAACTCAAAAGGACTGCAGGAGAAAAACGCTTATTCATAGCAGCCATAAAGAAGAGGTGAAAGCTCATTTTCCAGTTAGTCCATCATGTTCTTTGCTGTCAGAATAAAAGAGGATTTCCACACAAGACCCCTTCCTAACAATAAATCAGCGTCTTCAGCGGTAGTTACAGAAATAAAGGTAAAGAAACAAGCACTTCCCAAAGCAAAACCTTAAGTACATCAACAGAGAAGGCAAGCAGCACAGAAAAGCTAGGATACTGCTTGACTCGTTTGCAGGGCACAACCCCTTTTTGCCCTGAGAAGGGCAGGAGGAGCGCTCACGGAGCACGCGGACGTCGTAGTGGATGGAGTCCTGGCCGGCCTCGTTCACCGCCACACAGGTGTACCTGCCCGCGTCGCCAGCCCGCGCCCGCGGCAGCTGCAGCACCCCGCCGCCTGCAAGGGAAACACAGGCAGGGCTGAGCTGCAGCAGCAGCAAGTCTCCATCGCTGCCACACCACATTTCACCAGGGACCTGAGCAAGCAAATTTATGAATGGTTAGCATTTGTTCCGAATTATAAGTAACTACAGACTTTAATTTCCTAGCTACTTTTTCTGCTGGCAGATACTTGCAATTCAGCAATGTTCAGACTGAAATGTTAGAAAAGAGTAATTAACTCCACAGAAAGGAATAACGGTCTTCAGCCAGACAATATTTTTCAATCAAAAATAGAAATATTTCTCAGCAAGTGACAGAGAATTACTAGGCAAAAGGAAATACATGCACAGAATATTCTGGTATAGCTGTTCCAAAGTGAAAAAAAATCACTTCTGAAGCTTATAGGTACTTTTCACTCTATTCCTCCTTTAAAGCACAGCCACATAAATTGCTTCAGAAAGAGAGGATGTATTAGGAATACATTTGGGGAGTGGTTGTCATTGGTCTCCCAACAGATGAACAACAGGTAGACATAAAGACACAATTCTCATCACTGCCCTCTTTCACACACCATCCCCAAATCACTTCTGCACACAAAAGGCACCCTTTTGCACTCTTGG